TGCATGATCTCATTCATGCATTAGCAACTCATGTTGCTGGAGACTCTACTTTTAGATTAGGGGAGAACAGAAATGAAATTGGCACGATGACTCATCATTTGTCTTGTGACTTTCAAAATTGCCATTGCTTAGATCGGGGGGTTTTCCAGAAATCAAAAGGCTTGCGAACATTTATAGGATTTAATTTTTCCTATATCCTTAAGACTGTTGAAAATGCTTCTCATATTCTTTCATCGAATCTGAAGCACCTGCGAACGTTGTCACTTAGAGAACTATCTACTTTAAAGACAGTTCCTGAGTCAATTGGGAAATTTGTCCACTTGCGCTATTTAGATCTATCTGGCACAAGCATTGTAAATTTGCCCAATTCAATCTGTAGATTATATAATTTACAAACCTTGAAGTTGTGCTATTGTTCTTTCTCATGATTCTACCAACTGACATGCAAGATCTTGTAAATCTTCGGTATTGGATTTGTTGAGCGTTGGTGATGAGTTTTTGAAGGGTGATAATTGTGCTTCCATGATACCATTTCCATCCCTTGAATATCTTCACTTTTCAAGGATGGCTTCTTGGGAACAATGGCATTCCATTAACACCGAAGCTTTCCCTAAACTCCAGCTACTCACAGTATCATTTTGCAACAAATTAGCTGGAAGTCTACCTCTCCAGCTGCTTTCTTTAGAAACTCTGGAGATTAAATCTGTTCATTGTTTTCTTCTTGTATTCCAAAGTGTCCCAAACTTCAGAATTTACATGCATTTAAAAGTGGAAATATGGTATGGCAAGAGCAAGAATTACCTCCTTTACTTTGCACTCTAGATATTTCAGGATGTTGGATGTTGGAATCAATGTTGGACTCATTTGCTAAACGTTCGCATCTGCAACAATTAACTATCAGTGATTGCTCCAACATATCACCTTCTTCAATGATTCATTTGCCCCCTTTATTACAAGAATTAAATGTACAGTGGTGTAAAAATGTTGACTTTGTGATGAGTCCAACTGCTCCTCTTCAAAATCTCCAGTCTATTCATATTGGGGGTTGTGTTTTTCTGAAGTTTATATAGATGACATGAAAAGTCTCCTCCCAAGTTTAAGAAAGCTAAGCATATGTGGTGTTGACAAGATGGAAGAATTTCCAGAAGGGATTCTTGTGCCGAGTTTGAGAGAACTTCACATTGAATGGTGTAATATGGAGTTCATATTATCCCATCAAGCAGCATGGCACCTCCTCAGTAATATCACTTACCTTTGTATTTTTTTCCCACATGATAGCCATGTCAAGTGTTTTCCAGAGGGTGTTCTCTTCCTTCTACTCTTACCACTTTGGAACTCAATTCCTTTGGTAACTTGGAGACATTGAATTGCACAGGACTTCAGCACCTAACCTCTTTGCAATGTCTAAATATCAAATCTTGTCCCAAGCTGGAGAAAATGTTAGGAGAAAAGCTACCTGTTTCTTTAAAAAAGCTTCACATTCAGAATTGTTTGTTGCTTGAAGCAAAATACCGCAACAGGGATGAACAGCTTTTGCGTCAGATATCCCACATCCCACTGATCAATTCATCTGAGATATGAGATGCAATATAATCATCCACGAGGTATTTATTGTCCACACTCTTGTTCCCAAGTATTACGTTTTGCTACTTCATGAATTAAATGGTGGTAGCAATCTCGTTTGTTTATGTTAAATTATTACAAATATTTGATGACAGAATGATGCATTTTGATAAACAATTGATGATGGTTCAAAGCATTAATTTGTTACTGTGGCTAATTTAATTACATATCCTACGCTCAAGCAAAGATTAGTGAAGTAATCCATTTGGTTTCAAATTTATGCAGAGATGTAGACCCCACGAAGCTTATATCAATAGCTCTTCTAAGACCTTCTTCAAAATGTTTTGTGGCTCATACAATATTCAATCATGTAATGAGAAAATATTTGCAAATTGTAACCGTAAAGGTACACTTCTGGACAAGTTTCTGTCTCTATTACAAATGCCATTTCTTTGTTTCTTTAAGCGATTTTTTTTTTGTCTTAGCTGTTTGAGTTTTTCTTATTATGGGGTTGTTGCAGGGAAAATCCAACATGGTTTGCTTGTTCTAATTTATAAAGGAAATACAGTGCTTCTTCTTCAGAAAGTATAATGCTCAAATCAAGATCCTTCATATATTCCTATTTGCTGGGAGTGTCCTTAATATGTGGGACTCATGCGCATTAGTTTTTTTTTTTTCCTTTCTTTCACAGATACTTTGGTGGCAGTATGCATTACATTTGTATACTGATTTTCTATTTTTTTGGGTTTGGTGTGTAAATGATATGATGAATTAAGCATAATGTATTATGAATACTCTCATTACTTATAAAAATTCTCAAACTTCATGCTTTGGGAGATGATGTAGGATTCAATTCTTTGAATTTGAACCTCTATACATCGTGTCTCATCTTATTTTATTTTAATTAATTTAAAATCATCAAAAGTATTATATTTCCATCCATAAAAGAGAACCGTGGACTGAAGCATACACACAAATCACTCTGCATGTGTTGTTAATTTGTTGCCCAGATCAGACCTATCCGAAGAATCAGAGAATCTCATTGATAAAGTGCCCATAAAAGCAAGTAAATTCCTTGGGGCATTCTTAACCACATGGAAAAGGAGGGATTTGTCCCAGACACAAACTTTGCGTTGCTTTTGGTACCAAAGGCATATTTAAAATCTCATTCACTGATATTGACTTGAGTAAATGATTCTCAAATATTCAATTTACATGCTTCTTGATTATGCAGTATAAGATCATCATCTTTAATTACAAAAATACCTCTCCATCTGCAACTTGTAATGATCTTTTGGAGGAGGAAAAAAAAAACTCCTAAAACATACTTACTTGACAGTCTCAAAACAAGATAAAAGGAAAGTACAAACATAGAGGAAGGGGCAGCCACAAAATTGCAGAAGGAATGAAAGAAGTTGCAGCAGACAATCATATGAGTTTTTTTCCCTTGGGTATAAAAAGTTTATGTGAGTTGGGTCCCAGGAGCTTATCAGGGTCAGGCGTGCCTCTAAGTTCAAAGAGTACTTATAGAGGTACTTACAGATTACTTACCAACAAGGTCCTCATATCAGTAGCGGGATTCAAACTCACGACCTTGTGTGGTTATAAAACAACTCCTCATTAACTAAACCATTCTTGTTGGTATCATAGAGTTATATTGTACTAACTTCTTGTGGGAAAAATTGGTTATCTTAAGTACACTTGGGCTATCATTCATCTTCAAAATGTAGCAAATAATACAGCAAAAATCCCGAGAGCCTCGGTAAAACTTGTAGCATGAAAATTCAGAAAATTTAGGTCAACTTAAACATCATCATTGCCAACAAGTAGCAAGGACCGAGGTGCCCATTGTGGAAATAAAAAAAAAATATAAGTGCATAAATAATGCCACAGATGTAAGGCATGATGGGGATATATGATAAAAAGTGAGCAAGGATGTTTTATGTTTCATGATTTGAAGTGAAGTAAGCTTCTTTAAGACATGGATGAACCTTCGTTCTCAAGATTTGGTGAGATTGAGATGATCGTGCCCCCAGTCGGCAAACTGAAGAAATATTTTTGGGATGCTGCAATAGAACCCATCCATTTGAAAGTTTTCTTGGAGCTGTTTTTATTAAGTGTTTATAATCATGTTTACATAAATTGACACAAGACTCTCATCGTATAATTACCTCGTATTTCATAAATACAATTGAAAATTAAAGCAATCCTACTGTTATTTCAAACTTACACTTTCATTGAATTCATCAAGAGCCAATCCAATTGCAAGGAATCAATTAAGGTAGGAAGATCAATGTTGCATAATGACAGCTTCAATTATAAGTTTATAACATCCATAGTAGCAAACTCAACATAGGATCGTAAATGAAATTATTAGGGGGAAAAATGGCTCCAAAACCTGATCCACTACCTTGTCTCATAGTCTCCCACTACTACTCCAATCATTAAGATTGAGAATTTATTACAATGCAGATTTTAGACAACATGTAAAGAAAATTGAAGTGTGTAAAGATCTTCTCGCTCTCCCTTTTTAATTCATGAAAATAACTGCATCAATTTTGGTATAAATCATGTAAATATTTCTTTCAACTTACTATATATAAATAATGTGAAACATTTATTCTTATTTTTTTCATTTCTAATTTCATGCGTGCTATTTTTTTTTTTTGCCACAGAAATTCTCCTCGTAGTTTCTTTGTCTTTTTTTTTCAAATTGAAAGGCAAGTCTGCACTTGAGAAGAGAAAGACGAGAAAGGGGTTTATTACCTCCAATTCTAATTATAAAATTTTCTTTATATTTTATTTGTAATTTATAAATAAGATTTTATAATTATTAACGATGATACTAATTTTTAAGTGATCCGGGAGAAGGACTGTTTCTACTTTCAAGTTTCAAGAGAGGTCGAGTGGGCCCCTTTGGCCCGTGAGTCAACGCATTTTATCTTTCGTTCTGGAAATTTTGCATCGAATTTAAACCAACAAATTAAGGCCCCATGTTTTTTCTATAGTTCTTACAGACAAGCTACTCACTCATGGCTGAACTTGTGGGTGGACCTCTTCTCTCTGCATTTCTTCAGGTTATTTTTGATCGGATTGCCTCTCCAAACGTTGTGGCCTTCTTACGTGGGGAAAAAGTCTACTGAAAAGTCACTCCAAAGGTTGAAGACAACGTTATATGCTGCTGGTGCCGTGCTCCATGACGCTGATCAAAAGCAGATCACTGATTCAGCTGTGAAGAGTTGGCTGGATGATCTCAGAGATGCGATTTATCACGCCGATGACTTGATAGACGAGATTCCACTCAAGCCGCAACTCGAGTTGAGGTAGGTAGAAAAATGCTTTTATTGCTCTTTTGACCTGAATGCTCGAAAGATAAATTTCAAGATCGATGACGTAGTTGACAGGCTCGAATCAATTTTGAAGCACAAAGATATTCTTTGTTTGAGAGATCGTGTGGAAAGGGAGAACTTGTCATGGAGGCATCAGTCAACATCCCTCGTTGATGAATTTGATGTGTTTGGCAGAGATAATGAAAGAGATGCCATACTTGAGTTGTTGCTTTCTGATGACATCGATGATAACAAGATATCTGTCTTGCCCATTGTGGGTATGGGTGGGATAGGGAAAACCACATTGGCCCAAGTAGTGTATAATAATGATCAAGTGAAGCAAAAATTTGATCTTAGAGTGTGGGTTTGTGTTTCCGAAGAATTTGATGTCCCTAAGATCACCAATAATATAATAGAGTCTGTCACGTCTCATGCTTGTGATATGAAAGATCTAAATTTACTTCAACTTGATCTGAAGGAGAAGTTATCTGGGAAGAAATTCTTGATTGTTTTAGATGATATTTGGAATGAAAATTACCTTGATTGGGATCTTTTAAGAAGACCTTTTCTATCTGGGACCAAAGGGAGTAAAATCCTCGTAACAACTCGTAGTGAAAAGGTTGCTTCAGTTGTCCGAACTCTTTCATCCTATCATGTAGGTCAATTATCTGATGATGATTGTTGGTTGATATTTGCAAAACATGCATGTCTCTACATGGATTCTGTGGCGGATTCAAATCTAGAAAGCCTTGGTAGGGATATTGTTAACAAATGTAAGGGGCTCCCTTTAGTTTCCAAAACTCTGGGCGGCCTTTTGCGCTTCAAACGTGATATTAGGGATTGGAATATAATATTAAAGAGTGAAATGTGGGACTTGTCAGAGGAGGAGAGTGAAATTCTACCAGCTTTAAGAATCAGTTATCATTATCTCTCTCCACAATTAAAACAATGCTTTGTCTATTGTTCCATGTTTCCTAGAGATTATGAATTTGAGAAAGAGGAATTAATCTTGTGGTGGATGGCTGAAGGTTTCTTAGAGACATCAATGAAAGGGAAGACTTTAGAAGAAGTGGGGGAAGAGTATTTGCATGATTTAGTTTCAAGGTCGTTTTTTCAGCCCTTGGTCATGTATAAGTCTAATAGATTTTTTGTTATGCATGACCTTATCCATGACCTAGCAACATCTGAAGCAAGAAAATTCTACAGCTACAGCTGCAGATCTAGCAAGGGAAATGAAATTACTGACATGACGCGCCATGTGTTTTGTGGAGACGGAGACTTTAGCTCTATAAGCAAAGCAAAATCTTTGCGGACAATTCTTGTCAGGAAAGAGTGTGGTGGGTTTTTGCCATCAAACAGATTTTCAAAGCTTAAGTGCTTGCGTGTATTATCACTCTACAATGTCGTGTCTGGGGCATTGCCAGATTCAATAAACAAATTGATCCATTTGCGCTATTTAAATCTCTCTCGAACTAGTATCAAAAAGTTGCCGGACAATTTATGCCTCTTGTACAATCTACAAATGCTGATAGTGAGAGATTGTGATGGTCTAACCAAGCTGCCCAATGACATGAAGAAGCTTGTGAGCTTGCGATATCTTGATGCTTCTCATTCTCGATTACAAGCGATGCCAAGAGGAATTGGTGAATTGAAAAAATTGCACTTTCTGAGTGACTTTGTATTGAACAGAGTTGAAGGGGCTAGTATTAGAGAATTGGGTGAACTTCAAAATCTCAGCTCATCTTTAACAATAAAGAACTTGCAGCATGTATCCAATGGCGGGGAAGCCTTAGAGACAAGATTGGCAGATAAGTTGTCAATTGAAACTTTATCTCTGACATGGAATGATGCTGGTGATATTGTCAACTCAAGAGACATACTTGACAATCTACAGCCTCATGTGAACCTGAAATGTCTCCATATTTATGGATATAATGCAACTGCTTTCTCAAATTGGTTAGGATGCCCATTGTACTGCAAAATGGTTCAACTGGTCCTTTATGATTGCTTCAATTGCAGCCTACTGCCGCCACTTGGGCAACTACCTTCTCTTCGGACGCTACAGATTGAAGGATTTGATGCATTGGTGAAGATCAGTCCTGAGTTCTACAAGAGAAATGATGATACTTTTTTGGCAACACCCTTTACATCCCTCGAATTCTGGAATTTAGAAAGATGCCTGTCTTGCAGGAATGGGGGAGCTTATGTCCCATAAATGCTTTTCCTAAACTAAAACATCTCACATTAAAGGATTGTCCTAGATTAAGTGATCATTTGCCTAGTTACCTTCCTGATTTGGTAACACTTCGCATTGATGGATGTGATCACTTGGCAGCTTCTATCCCAAGGGCTCGATCAATATATATCAGTGGTTGTAAAGATATGGATTTTTTGGGGCAACATCATTTTGAACTTGCGGAGTCCGTCATTATAACTAATAGCTGTGAGACACTTTCTTGTTTGTCATTAAATAACATTCCTAATCTCCAACAACTCGTAATGACCGGCTGTAAGAATCTCAAATCTGTTGTATTTACAAGGGTTGCTTGTTTGCATCTCAAGCAAATTAAGCTGATTGATTGCCCCAGTCTTGAATCTTTCTCACTGGAGAGTTTGTTTGCACCCAACATGACTCATTTGGAGTTAGAAGGATGCTGTAACTTGAAGTCATTGCTTGATCTCAGGATGAATCTTCTAATGTTACAACATATATCATTAACCGGTTGTCCAGGCATTGAGTGGGTTCCTGGGAGGAGTCTGCCACCTAATTTGATGTCTCTTTATATTGATCATTGGGCGTTTTCATGCTATGTGGTTTATATGGAGTGGCAGTCTTTACGCAGTCTCACTACTCTCTCAGTAACTGGTAAATATGTTGATAGTGTACAATTGTTCCCAGAGGAGTGCTTGTTGCCTTCCTCTCTTGCCATTTTGTCCATTAGCAACTATCCAAGTCTGGAAACACTGGACTGCAGGGGATTTGTTAATCTAAAATCTCTTCAAGAATTAAGAATCAGACAATGCCCCAAGCTACAAAGAATAATAGGACAAATGCTGCCTGCCTCTCTCACACATCTCAATATCTATCGGTGTTCTTTACTTGGAGAATTGTGCCATGCAAAGAATGGGGAAATTTGGCCCAAAATTTCCCACATTCCAAATATTTCCATTGACAATAATCGGGTTTTGTGACCTGGGATGAATTTTTAGCATGTAATATGCATTTCATATGATAAGTCCCTTTCATGAAGTTATTATTTCTTTCCTTTGAACTGGCTTTCTCTCTTTTTCTGGGGAAAAATTGTAAGAATTTCTTAACAAAAATGAAGCCGTGTTTTGTGGTGGAAAAGACACTCATCACTTGTATGACATATTGTGATTTTTGATTTTGTTCTTTCTATTCCCATTCATGATGAAATATGTGTATTGCATACCATTTTCACCTGCAACTTATCTATTTCTTCATGACTGATTTCAGACTTAGTTTGATATTATATAGCTTCCTTTTATCCACATTTTTATGCTCCGTTAAATCAATTTCTGACGGCAATGTTCTACTCACATAAATTTGGTGTCAAGCGGGTTAGATTAAGAACAAACAGATATGGCCAGAATCCTTGCTTTTGGTGGCTCTAACAGTAATGATAAGCTGAGGTATTCAGATAACTGCTCAATTATTTACTTAGCCTAGTTGTGGGAGTAGTGTTTGTGACGAACAATATCTCCGTAGTGTCTTCTGTAGTTCTGTAGGCTTTTGTTTTCATAATTCATTAGTACTTCAAATTATAAAGTGCAAGATTTATTCAGTAAACTGATGTGGACTCTTACTACGAACGGAGTCAAGAAGTATTCCATAATTCAATTTTTCTATGTTCACAAAAATAAGTGTACAAGTCGCACACAGTTTCATTCTTGTGTAATTATCTCTGAATGCATGAATGTAAAGGATATAAATTGTGTTATTCAATCTTACCAACTTTCCTTGCAAGTGAGATGTCATTTTACTGAAGTCATTCCTAACAAATGATGTGCTTAAAAAAGTGTTTTTGATTGGGATGATTCCATCTATCCAAGGAAAGAAGAAATTTATAATTTCTAAAAGTTCAAGTGAAATAATGAGTAATGGCTCTTTTCATTCCCTTGTTTTGTTCTGACGTATGCATCTCTTAAACAAGTCTGAAATAATAAGTGCTATCTGTTGCATGTAGTGTTGTCTATACTACTCTTTGCCCATCACTCCCATTCTCCCGCTTTTACACTGTAAAAGTGTCAATTTACATTGAGATGTGCATTTCATTGAATTTGACTCCATTACTCAGAAATCTTCTTTTTATAGAGTTTTTAAATCTTCCCTTTCAATTAATTTCGTTTACCAAATTTGTTCTTTTTGTTGATTCAGAATTTTCTTCCTCTTGAAAACATGATTTTTTGGGTGCATGTTCTTATAAAGCAGCATGTCACCTCCTGTGTTCATTGCTGGCCTTTTATGTTTTTTGCTTAAATCATAAATTTTATATTTATTTAGTTTTCTTTTGGGTGATATCTATGATTATTTTTTCACAAATCATATTATACCAATTTAAGATGTGCATCACATCTACCTTCAACTGACCTTATTGTACCTTTGAAAAAGGCAGAAACCTCAACTTTAAACGGTGAATGAGATGGCACTAAGTGATTATTGTACAAGTTTGAAAGAAGGATAACTCCTTGAATCCCAATTTTTATAAGCAACAGGTTAACTCATTTCTTTCATTTGTGTATTTCACACGGCTTTGGATTCTCCACAATTTAGCAGCAATTTCCAGACATTGTATAAAGTGTGAGAATTCTGGTTTTTAACGCACCTCTTCTTTTCCTACTGACTGAAGAAATAGAAAGCCTTCAGATGCACTATAGATCAAGGATCAAATTTCTGTTAATACTTCCAAGAGCATCTTGCCTTTCTTATTTTTGGAGTTGCAAGAAGCGTGTCATGCTTTAATTTTGCTGGGAAAATTTATTTGCCGGTTCTTCTGGTTTCACCATAATTTTAATTGAGTCTATCCAGTGTTTTTTTTAAAAAAAAAAATCAGGTCATTTGTTCTTATAGTTTTTTTTTTCCTCAGGAATTTGAAACTACAAAGACTTAATTAAAATTCAAGTGAAATTATAACAACCTAATAACAAGTATGGTTAAAATACGTCCAACATCTTAAAATATTTTGTTAAGTATATTCAATATCCTAAATTATTTTAGTGTGGGTCTCACATCCTGAATTATTTTTTCATGTACATACAATCCACAAAAAATACTGAAAAATATTTTATAATATCTTATATGCATTCATTTAATGGATATTTTGAGAATTAATGATGAAGTTAAAATTAATCATAAAATAATATTTTAAAAGCGCTACTTTTTTTGTTTTTTTTGATGTGAATACATAAAACCAGGCCATCCTATCAATGACTACTCATCATAGCTTCACCTCTAACTTTCTCTCTCACACAATTCGGCATATCAGAAAAGCAGAAGAATAAGCCAGGCACACATTTTAGTGCTTCCTTCGCGAGGATATCAGCAGCTTCATTCGTGTCACGACAAACCCAGCTAAATAGTACACTCCAATCCCTACGTGCATCGCTACGATTTCATGCACAAGATCCTCGTCATCTCGGTCCTCGGCTGTGCCCAACATGATAGCATCTAGCAGGTCTCGACAATCTGATTCGACTATAACGTGCCGGTGCCCACTGTCCAAGCGTATTTCATGCCCGTCAACACTCCCAAGCTTCTGCTCGAGAGGCGTTCCCGGCCCGATATTAAACATAAAGCCTCCCGTAAATACTCCCTTCCAATCTCGCATCAGTCCTCCACAAGCGGACATTCCACTTGCCGTTGACGCAGCGCCGTCCACATTAATTTTTACTGCTCCTTCCATTGGCGGCACCCACCTCTGGTAGTGCACCCCACCCGATTGGGTGGCTCGCTTGCTAACGCTGACCCATTTTGAGCATGCCAACGCCTTGCTGATAACCGTGGTCGCGTTCACCCGTCCTTGTTCAAACACATGCTCATTCCTAGCTAACCAGATTTGTCTACTAACCAGTCCAAACACGATTTTCCATGGCACCTGTTGCACCTGGAACTGCTGTCTCACATTCCAGTGGATCCATGAACTAACGTCCTGCTTTGCGAAGAAAGAAACATGCAAATGCCTCGGGAGGGCCTTCCGCCAAACTTCAGACGCAACAAAACAATCACGTAGAGTGTGTAAAAGCGCTACTACTGCTATTGCTTATTGTTTGATTTGGTGCATGTTTCATACATTTTATCTTTCATTTCTTTTTTTTTCTTTTTAAAAAACATGTATGTAGATTTTAGGGAAAATCCTAATTAAATCTTGTTAAAATATCGAAATCCAAATTAAGGTCTACATTTTTAACAAATCTCTAATTAGGCTAATAGGCCTTATTGGGAATTTTTAATATTTTTAAAACACTAAAATGTCCTTTTAAAAATTTAAAATAATATTATTTTAAAAAAATTAAACCATGAAAACTTGACATTCTATATATTTATTTATACAAAATTTTTACATAAAATTTTTTGAAAATATTAAGAGCAAAAAATTGACAATGCATAATATATATTTAATACTAATTCTGATATATGATAAGAAATTTATGGGAAAAGAATTTTTTTTTTTGGTAATAGGAATAGGACCTTTTAATTATTTGATTCCAATACCATTAAATTAATAATTTTTTAAAGGAAATTTTTTTCTTACAGTTCAAAAATTAGAATCTTATGTATAGTATATTTCAGCATCACATTTGTCATTTTCTTAAGTGCTCTGTTATATCTCTGCCATATAGATATTCTCATCATATTATATCTTATAATTTATTGCAAAAATTCTTACTAATAATTAATATGATTTTTTAGAAATCTAAATAAATTTTCTAACATTTCATTGGATGGATGGGAGTAATATGAACTTCTTAATATAAATTTATACAAAAAAATCATATATTTTACTCTTTAAACAACATATAGAGTAAAAAACGTGTGAAGCTGATGGTTTATCTAGCAGCATCTCAAGAAAAAAAGAATTAAGGTCATAACTTGATTGGACCAATTATCAATTTACTACTTTAAATGGGTATTTTAGCCTTTTACAAACATTCAAAAATCCCTAATAAGACTTGTTGACCTAATTAAGAATTTGT